GAAAATATAAAAATATAAAATGATAAAAAAATTTATATGAATTAATTTAAAATATAACATATATTATAAATTAATACTAAAATTATAATTACTTGGTTCTTGAAATTTTATATTTCAATTAATATTATTCAATATTAGTCTTATTTTGAAGGTATCAACAAAACATTTTCAAATGTAAAATTTTTATTTAAAATAAATTAATTAAAATAAACTTATGTTGATTTTAAATTACTAGTTATTAATAAAAAAGGATATGGAAGTAATAAGTAAATGTTTACAAATCATTAAAAGGGCAAAATGGGGATTTAAAAAAGTTTGCAGTTAGCTGCAAAGTTGAGGAAGAGGCTACATATTTGCAGCCTCATTTCCTCCGGCTGCATTTTGCAGTCGGAGTTGGAGCTGGGTTGGAGCTCCATTAGACTGCAAAATCTAGTTTTGTAGCCCAATTGAAGAAGCTCTTAGCATCTCGCTTTTCATGTGATGCCTTCGATTGAGAAAGGCAACTACCTTCAAGGCATTCTATTAAATACCTGGTGGGGCCCACCTATTTATTAATTTGCAATAGACTAGCAATACATTCAACTCATATAGACATAAGAACCTACTAACAGGCAATAAGATATTTTGACCCAAACGACCACCGTGGGACATTTGAAGCACGGAGACATTCAAAATTCATGTACTCTTTGTCCAGAGAACCTAAACAAAAAGAAGCTCTCTGCGAACGTACACATAGATAAATATAATCCGACACTTAGACGCATCTACAAATATTTGTGACCATCAGACATCTAGAAATATTTGTGACCATCATCATTCACCACGAGCAAATGGGAACAGATGAATCCCTCGTGCAATCAGAATTGTCAGCGCCGGCTTGCCGCCATCAAATTATGCGCACAAGAGGCAAGATATGACAGAGTTGCTAGAATTTTGTCGTTTTGATTGTCTACTATCTGCGGGAATAGTAATAATATGTTCTCGGAACATCTAATACAAGTTATGTAATATTTATGAAATATTAATAGATTTAATTGTTGCACGTATTTGGATATCATTTATATAATTGTTACATATCCTTAGAAATTATTTTGTTATATCATGCACTGTGATATGTCACTTGTTTTGAGATGTGATCTAATTTTGAGATTTCTTAAACTTGTGCTTAACCTATAACTAGTAAATGATAACTTTATTATAACATGTTATTATGCATGATTCTAGCATGTGAGATGTGGTGGTGAGTCTCAACCACCGGGAATGGAGATTCCCCGGGTGTATGTCATAAGCATACATTGCGATATTTGTAGCACCAGAGCATATTTGAATTCTCTAGAACAAGTCAACTAGGAGATGGAAAATTCAAATTGTTATATGGTCCATTTGATTTGATGATATTGTCATTTTCGATTTGATAATTTTGTATATTTTGATGTGATGATTAAGCTTGTTTAGCAAGTGCTACACAACCTGAAATGTTGGGTTACTAGACTTCATTTAGAAAAATGATGGACATATAGATAGGATCTAATATGCGCATTATGATAAGTTGATTTATTATGCATTTCCATGAAGTTATAAAATTCTCGCAGGCGGACGGTTTTGAAAAATGTTTTTTAGAATTTATTTGTTTATAAAAATAAAATATTTTGATATTTCAAATTGATTTTTATTTATATTCATGGAAATTATAATTTAGACATGAACAAATAGGTGAATTATCTTGCTCAAAAGAGTTGCCTAAATAAATGATACCGGAGGGGACTGAATATAAGATATTATTTATAAATAATTAATCTCATATGATGGAAGAGCTTTTATAAATACTTGGTAGGATAGGGATTTGACCGTTAACTTAAAATTATTAATTTGATTAATAATTGGTTCTCAATATGGGACCCAATTGGTCTCACTAATGTCATTAGAAAAGGTTTACATGCATACAAATTTTATTATATCCTTAATTATTATGGATAGAGTTTTTGAACAATTCTATTTTATTTTTAATTATTATGAATAGAGTTTTAAATAATTATAAATTGTTTGCAATTAAAATCAATGAGGCTAGTCTAATCATATGTATATAGGGTTCATATGTAGCCTTATAGATACACAAAAAATCTTATGAAGATAAGATGGAAATAGAATAAATAGAAAATTGAGAACCTATCTCTTAGTATTGCTCCTGACATGTGGATTTTACTTGGAGACTATTTCTCTTGAGGAAACTTTGAAATTTTTAGATAGATCTTGAAAGATGGATTACGAAAGATCGGAAGGCATTCCGGGTATTATTCTAATTTTGATTAATTTTAATAAATAGTCACGATATGTATATTCCGCCTTATTTTATATCGTGTTTCCAACACTTTCATGATTGTGCTCTGATGTAAAGTCATAAGCAGTAGAACTTTTTGTTTTTGTTTTTTTTGGCCAAAGCTTCCTGCTAGTCCCTGGGTAGAGTTGATTATTTATTTAGAGGAAAAGAAAATGATACCACAAGCAGTAGAACTTGAAAAGCATCTAGAATATGAAAATTTTCATTTAATTGTTGGATTTGAGATGCA